GCAGCTGTGAAGGAAAAGGAAAGCAGCAGTCTATAAAGAAGCAATTATGGGACCTGTTCGTGCTTTTGTTGTACCCACCACTTCAACAAGTCAATCTTGGATCATTTTCAAGTATTTTTATGAGGCTTCTTCAAAGGAGAAACACGTTCTTGCTACGTCTGTACCAAACGGTGTCAGCGAACCCGTCGTCTGAGCACGGGCGCACACTCCCATCCCAGGCTTGCATTTGGTTTGGCGACTGAGCAAACAGAGGCGGCTCCGAGGTTCGCCGTAAATTCATGCGACGGACGTTATTTTGAGCGAGGGCACATTAAATGAAGCGTGATGGGTTCACTTGTCCTCCCAAATGTTCCTCCGATGACGGCGGGATGGAATGCTGCCCTCGTTGGTAAAAACAACATCATTCATCAGGGCCGTGGATTCCCAAATGTTCCTCCGATGACGGCGGGATGGAATGAATGCTGCCCTCGATGGCAAAAACAACATCATTCATCAGGGCCGTGGACATGGTCACCGCTGGTGTTTCAAAGCTGGAAATGACACTTAGTGGACTGACAGTGCTTTACCTCCAAACTACACACAGTAGGTTAACAAAATGGAAATGTTCAGTGTTGGGATTAACATAAATGAATAAGAATTTTTTTAAATGGCAAAATTACAGCAGCGGCCCAGTGGTCCAGTGATTAGCACGTCGACCTCACAGTGCAGAGGTACCGGGTTCGATTCCAGCTCCGGCCTCCCTGTGTGCAGTTTGCATGTTCTCCCCGGGCCTGCGTGGGTTTTCTCCGGGTACTCTGGTTTTCTCCCACATTCCAAAAGCATGCTTAGCAGGCTGATTGAACATCTCGAAATTGTCCCTCGGTGTGAGAGCGTATGTTTTTTCGTGTATATGTGCCCTGCGATTGGCTGGCAACCGGTTCAGGGTGTACCCCGCCTACTGCCCGAAGACAGCTGGGATGGGGTCGAGCACCCTCCGCGACCCTTGTGAGGATAAAGCGAAAATGGATGGATAAAACTACAGGTGTGTGATTTCTTTTTTTGACAAAATCATTAGGACTTGTGCACCCTTGTTGAAACTGCTTCAGTTTTCTCAAATGGTTGCCTTCCCTTGACTGTCTGTTTCTGATCTTTCTACACGTTTCACAGGGTTTAGCTCTGGACTCTTCGAAGACTACTTCTTAGCATTCTTGTGTGTTTGGTCCTTTATCCTGTCCGAGGACCCATGAGACCAATCTGTCTGACACTGGGCAGCACATTTGGCTCCAGAACGCCAGGATAGTGTTGAGATTTCATTGGAGCCTGTGGACATTGTGCCCAATCTATCACAACAGCCCCAGAACGTGCTTCACAGTTGGTACAGTGTCCTTTCTGTAAATCCAGACTTAGCGTTTCTTGCCCAAAAACTCAAGTACTGTTTCAGATGGTCATCCTCCCACAAGCTTAGTGGCTTGTCAACATGCATTTTGGCAAATTCCAGTCTCGTCGCTGTCAAGTTATTTCAGTGACCACTGTGGGTTTTTCTTTCTCCAACTTAAGGGCACAAACAATTACTGTCCAAATGTATACAGCATTTGTCAACTAAAATATGAAGAAGAATGGTCAAGCCCTCAAGTATGAGACACCTGACTCACCTTTCCAGACTTTGGGGAATTTAAACACAATGCTTATATACAAGAAGAATGCACTCTTCTCTTTTGACCAATATGGGCCTCAAATTGGGGATCCTTTCATGAGATAAACACGATGCCAGTCATGCATGTCAGACTTTCTCTGGACAATGTGAGAAAGTCATTAGATCTTCTACAAACCACATTCTTAGGCTGAGTTGGCTCTCTAAAAATGCTCAATTAACTCTCTTTCCTAAAAAAAAAAAAAAAAAAAAAAAAAAAGGTGAATGCAGTCAGAATCAGCTCATTGATGAGGTGATGAAATGTTTCCTCTAGTGAGGGTCCTTTTTTGAAATTCGGAGCCAAAGCTTTTCCCAGGTGCAAACCTTTCAATTATACTCATAAGTGGCTCGTGCTTTGCTCAAGTTGGTGGTTGAGGAGCTTTTTCAGAGAGTTGTGTCCAATCAAGAGCCTTTTTTGCCAACCTGGTCAGCGGTTTGAGGCCAGAAACTCAATGTATTTGCGGTCGGCCCGCTCCATTTCTTTTTTTTTTTTTTTTCAAGTTTTAGGCTTGCATAAAGTGGGTTATTCGGGAGCAGCCAAGAAGGCCTGGGTTTTCCTGGCACACAATGGCAGGAAGCGCCGCCCTGCCTCACTATAGATGGAAGCTGGAATAGTGGAGAAACATAGCAAGGAGCGAGATCAAGTTTCTCACTATAAAAATGGCCATTAAAAACATATACATATATACCAATAATAATGTACATTGGGGTTGGGTTAGTCATGTTGGATGCAATAGCTTTTGAAAGCAAGCCATTGAAAGAAAATGGCTGTCAAAACTTTGAAAAGACTTGTTCGGATTCATCTGAAAATTGACTTCGAAGGTGTGGTAGCATCTTGGGAATGACTAAGCCACTAACCCTAGCTCTTAACTACGCCTCTTTCCCAAATCACTTCCCTCTTCCCGAACCACCACCCTTTCTCCTAACCCGACCTACATCATTCTTCCCTACCCACTAACCGTCACCCTAGCCCAGGGGTCGGCAACCCAAAATGTTGAAAGAGCCATGTTGGACCAAAAAACCCCAAAACAAATATGTCTGAAACCACAAAAAATTAAAAGCCTTATATATAAGCCTTACAATGAAGGTATGTAGCTATATTAGCCTACTATCAAAATGACTACGTTGGCTACAAAATACACAATGAGCCTTCATGATTAAATGTTTTTTTTTTCCCTGCAGTGCAAGTGGAGAGCAGGGGTGCCCAACCTTTTTTGACCAAAGATCGACTTTTCGATCAACAAACAACCGCGATCGACCCGTTAGCGCACATATGCACGCACGCACTTACACACGCATGCCATAATGAACAACAGCTATAACGGCCCGGATGATGATCGGAGTATGGGACGCACTTTTGCAGCGTGTTAACTATCGTAGCTGACGTGTACCGTTTAAAAATGTGACTCTCAGCCCTCCAGATTCCCGTTCTTTGCCAGTACCCTCGAGGAATTGGACATAAAACGCTGTTTTTTTTTTTTCCTGCAACAGCCACTTGCCCGGCATCCTTTCCTGCAAATAGAAACGTGTGTCGCTGGCTATGACGCAAATCCTCATTGACAGAAATGTTGAAATTTAATATTTATTCTACACATTTTTACAGCATTGGAAAGCGTTAAGAATGTTTGTCATTTTTGTCCTCCTGCAGAAACCATATTAAAACAAAAATAGATTTCCCTCTCCCTCTCCCCCACCCTCTCTGGTGTGACTGACCAAAGGCCTGAGAATGCAGAATGCTTGTACACATGCTCATGTCAGGATGATCCGACATCTGAGGGTACACGGATAGGGAGTGAAGCCAAGGGCAAGGCGGTGCGGATGTGCTCAGAGTAAATAGGTTCATCAGAATAGAACAAACAATTCCAGATGTTATTTTCAATGTTTCTGTGTTATCTTGTATTGATTATGATGTTGTAATCGTGTGACTTCCAATAAAAGCTTAGGTATGAGGGGAGACTGCAGAGGATTCTAAATTTGGGCATGTCTTGATATTATTGTGCAAATATGATTCACATCCAATTCCCATTCATCTTTATTGGTGAACCCTTCCAATAACCTCGACCACCCCCACTTCTTGCTAACACTTTATCATCACCCCAAACAATCCCTAATTTGAATCCTATCTACGAGTAATAACACGATCGCACCCTAATTAAATTTCGGGTCTGGTCCATTCAGGCTGTTTTTCACCATACTCTTTAAGTTTCCGCACATCACATCCCAAAATATTTTCTTCAGCAGTCATTATTCCAAAAAAGAATAATTGGGCTTAGTTAGTGAACTCGGTGTTGTAGCCCTGGAATATATGCATATTCAAGATTCTTATCTTGGTATGCACAGCTTCAATTATCTATGAGGGGGAAAACTGGGCCATCTTCTTTCCAGAACACTACAAATTCAAAAGATAAAAGACCGCCCTGATGACGATGATGCCAAAAGTAACACAATTATTATTTACTTTTTGTAGACTCTGCTTTAGATCTGAAGACTGGAAAAGTCTTCAGATCATTCGCCTTGTAATGACCTTGAATGTCCACCACTGATGCCATAAAACAACCTGGCTCCAAAAAATGTCAACTGGAGCCTCGGGCTTCCTCTACTCAGAAAATGTTTGAAATGAAAACAAGCTAATTCTGGATTATAGTTTAAAAAATAATCTCAGACTGTACAAACTACCACTCATGTAACGGCAAAATGGACATTTAGATCCTTATTTTATCTAGATCCTATTATATTTTGTATATTTCTCGTAATTGTGGCCTGCATTATACTAAGATACTTTTATTTTCTTTTAAACTGCAGTTGACGAATAATATTTCAATCAAGCATCATATGAACACAGTTGTCCATAACTATGCTTAAAAATAATGCATTAAACCAAAAGCCTCACCCTTAATACAGACCTTGTACCCTTCCTTGGCTTTTTTTGGCCTTCCTTGGGAAAGAAAAAATGATTACCACGACAGAGATCTTCATGAGCAGAGGCACAAAGTTCACTAACATCCATCCATCCATTTCCTGATCCACTTTACCCATACATACTGTATATACAGTAATCCCTCGTTTATCGCGGTTAATGGGGAGCAAAACCACGCGCGACAAAAATCCGCGAAGTAGCGACCAATTAACATAAACAGGTTAAAAAAGTAAATAAATGTATATATATTTTTTTTTTAATTCCGCAAACGGTCCGTGAGAAGCTGCAAAACAACAGCGAGTCACATAGAGAAACATATACAGTACTGTACTCCATGTATATGTAAAATTAAAAAAACATTTTTTTTCTTTTTTTTATGTTTGAAAAACGAACCGCGAAGTAGAGAGGGATCACTGTAGTTACACATTTGTTTGTTTTGATAAACATTTCCACGATGAAAGCGCGATGCTCATCAGTCCAATTCATGGCAGCAACTGAAAAAGAAACGAAAAACAATGGCATTATGAAGAAACAAAGCAAAATGGCATGCTATGAAAAAAAAATGGCATTATACGTACTTTTCAAAAATAAAAACACGGTTTTGTTTCTTTACTTTATTTGCCTTTTATTTAACCTACAAATGTGTCAGATCATTTTGCTTGACCCTGTATATGGGGGCAGCACGGTGGACAACTGGTTACCACATCGGCGCCTCGCAGTGCAGAGGTGCAGTGTTCGGTTCCGGCACCGGCCTTCCTGTGTGCAGTTTCAGGGATGGCAATTTGTTTGTTTGTTTGTTTGTTTGTTTGTTTGTTTGTTTGTTTGTTTGTTTGTTTGTTTGTTGTTTATTGAACCTATATAAAACATACAATAACATGACAAAATGCAAACAAAAATTATGAAAGGAAAATAAAAGTAAAAGTAAGTAATACAAACATCATCACAGTTATATGTTCAAAGGAGTAGGAAGAAGTATACAACTTATCTAGTCCTACCCCTTGTTGTGCAATAATGTATATTGATCATTTCCAATACCAAAGAAAAGGAAGAAATCTACATATCATCAAATACTTTTACCCTTTTGTGTACTATACTTATCTATTGATACACCTTTCGGTTTGTATAT